GTTTGTACCGATGCCCTTGACTAGGATCCAGCAGCAGCATCTATCAGGCTTAGCCTTGTAAACGTGTCACTTTCGCTCTTAAAAAGCGACGTTACTAAATCAAAATTACTCTGAGGTCTTCACGCAATTTACTCTTACATTACGCTTGAGGAGAGAGGAAAGAACATTTACATCGATATTATAAAAGGAACGCCGAGAAAACCATTTTGCAAGTCTCTGCCATAAGCAGGTTTCATCATGTTAATCAGCCGCGATTGGAAAAACTCTCAGAACTTAACTAAAAACTGAATTGTTCTGTATAAACATTGACTCGTCAATATTGTAATAGTTGTTAGTCCACCAGTGTTTGCGAAGACCTACATAATAATATCTAATATGTAGTTCTCTCTCAATGAAAATAGCTTAGATTTAGCCCGAAAAAGTTACATTGAAGGCAATTTACGTTCCAAAACCAATGTATGAGAACAAGAGTAAATAGTTTCTCTTGATGAGAACCATGCATGCTAATTGCATTTCTTAGTTATTACGAATCGAAACAAGTTAATACCCGTTTGGGCCCTATTATACGCTTAAGGTATGGTCCCGAGGGAAACAGTAAGTTTTGTTTTCTTGAGAGTCCTGATGTTTCCCGAAACGAAGTCGTAGGAAACATAAGGGAAAACAAAACTAACTGTTTCCCTCGGGACCATACATTAAGTGCTTTGCTATATGTAAAGACTTTCCCTTAAACAATCATATGGTAAAACAAACAAACGTACCGTTATATTCGGCGCGCGGGCAACAACTGCGCAATTTTATCCCGGTCGAGATACATTTGAGTTTGATTAGGGGCACGTGACCAAGAATCAACCAATCACAGTGCTTGTTTTGTTGAGTGAAAGTCTAGGTATATAACAAAATCACATAAAAGTTTGTATTTACCAAGAGCAATTGAAATCTGACTTCTGAATGTGAGTCCCTAAAAAAGAATATTCAACAATAGCTATTCACGGCGAGCTCAATATATGTAAAAACTAGGCAAGGAAACAAAGAAACATAAGGAAGTTGAATGAGTTGAACGAATGTTCTCAAGTTCACCCAAATATCGTTTATATTTTTGATCTGAGTAGAATAACATGAGTTCGGTTGGGTAAGTGTCAACCTGAAACTTCTAGAACATGGATGTGTGCAATGGTAATTGTCTCATGCAGGTGGCGAGATAATTGTAGAAGTAATTTCTTGATATTTTGCATTTTGCATCGGTTATAAATGTACATTATGTAATAATCAAACTGCGTAAAAAAGTTTTTTAGTAGGCCATATAGTCTCAGCCAGAAGCAAGATCTCGCCTTTAAGTTCACGCCAACAGTTAGAAAGTGGTAAGTT